GGAACCCGGCTGTAAGCTTCAAGACAGAAATATCCCGATTTGGGGGCACTGAAGGTTTGGACAAATCTCCGGTCTGAGGGAGCACTGCCGATATTAAATTTGCTTTTTAAAACTGTTTCTCCTCCCTTTCATTTCCTTATGCAGGAGATTTTTCAGTTACAATGGCATCTTGTACCTGCTGTAGCCAGGAGTTGTCTGGAAGTCCTGAGCCTAACTGGAAGAGATGCAACTAAGAGCCTTGGGTACTGATGAAAGGGAAACCTGTCCTCCCTCAGGACCACCAACAGGATGGTCAAGAGGAACAGCTTGCAGTTTTGTAACCTGCTAGTAAAACCCTGGAAGATGCTGCCTAGAGATAAAGCCTCACATTTCTGCAGGAGCAAACTGCTCTCCGGGCCGCACCAGCCTCCCCTTCTCTCTCTCCTGCTCCCCTCCAGGCTGGTCCCTATGCAGCAAACCCCTTTTCCTTCCCAGTTTCCTAGGACACAGGACTAGAGGAGCTTGCCCTGCAGATACTTTGCTTTCCCCTGCAATCCGCCAGCAAAGTGTGCTGCTTTCTCCACTCTGCCCCTGTGAGAAGGGGACTCTAAAACTGGCCAGTTTTGTGCAATTTATATTCTAACAGAAAAGTTAGCTCTAAGTTTCTAGCCATGATGAATAATCCCAAAAGGAAATCTTAATGCACATAGACCCTAATGTACCAATCTGCTTTTTACTTGAAACTTTTTTCCTGTAGGTCTACCTTGATACTCACTCCAGAGGAGAGAACTGCCATGAGGTATGTGGCTTAATTACTCAACTATCAGATCGATGGTGATATGTTAACTGAGCAGGCATCAATGGGCCGAAGGGTAGCATCCAGTTCCTTCTATAACTCTTCTTTTTAATGAACATTTTTATGTGGTGGGGTTGTAGCCAATATCGGCTGTCACTGTTTGATAGTCCTCTGGAACTGGAGACCTTTAATTGCCTGCGTCTGATAAGTTAACAGCAGATACTAAAGGCTGGCTTTGATCATAAGAAGAAAGTATGACTCAGCCCCTTTCAGGCCATGCCAGGTCTGCAGCAGTATTTCCCCATCACAGAGTGGGAGAAAGGTGATTTTTTTAATCTTTCATCTGTCACTTTATAGTCCAAGTCCTGGGACCCGATTTTGCTGGAGTAATACTCCCCTGGGGAGTTGTGGCTGCACTGGTCCTACTAAAATGGGCTCTTTCCTCACCATTTCCTACTGTAAGATCTGCCAGGTGGAATTAAAAATGTATTGCATGATGTTTCTTTATGACCACAGGACACTTTGGGCTGAATTCAGCTTCAGTGTAACTCTAATCATTGGTGATTTTACAGTGTGCCACAAATCTGACACCTCCATTTCAGCTCGGACACCTTCACCAGCCCCCCCCCCCCCCCCCCCCCCCCCCCCGGGGGGGGTTCCCCACGACCTTTCCAGAAAGTTCGTTTACCTTGAGCCATCCTGCGTAGAAGAAGAACTGCAACAGTGTGAAGACTGGAATGTAAAGATCTAAGTCATGTCCCTGATAACCTTGGTCAGTATCCAAAAATTGGCGCCCTATCAGGCAGGCTAAGAAAAAAGTATAGACTGCGAGAGTGACAACCTGCAAAGAACAAAACTTCATTGAAATAATGCAATAATACAATTTTGTGCATAAGGTAACACATACCCAAAGGCCTCTGACTGCCTTTTGCCATATAATTTTCAAATCTGTAGGGAGGTATTACAAATAGAGAGGTCAGAGGAATAATTATGGCCAGGAAGAACACCCAGGAAACATAAAAACATTTCAGTGCTTCCCTCCCCTTCCCCAGATTATGCAAGGCCTTCAAAACATCTCTGCATTAAATATGACTTAAATTATTAGTCAGGCCTCCATGATCCTGTGGGAGTCAATGAGTGCTCAACACCTTGGAGGCCTGCTGAGTCTATGGATGTTTTGCACCAAACTCCCCTGTTACAGAAATTGTGTTTCAAAATTTGTAAAGGATAATGTCTCAGTACCTGGGTATAGACTAGTGGAATTCCAACCCAGTCATAACCAAACAAAAGACTACACCAAGACCGGTACTTATTCATCTCCTAAAAGGAAAAAACAAAAAACAAAACAAAAAACCAAACCCCAACAAACTAAAATTGCATGGGGTTCAATTCTAAATTATAAACATTTTGTTACAATTAATTTTTGCATATGTAGGACAGGGAGATAAGAAAGTGTAGTATATATAAATTGATACCGTAACAATATCCAGCACCTCATTGTCACATTTGAATACTCATTTAGTTTATGGAGTTGGAATGCTTTAGTATATTATGTATTTCTTCACAAATTATCTTTTTTTTTCCATCTTATCCACAGTCTAGTGATACATGAAAAAGAATTTATTATGTCATAAAAAGGATGTTTGACCAGTTAATGAAATATTCAGGGAGATTATCTTCCCTGAAACTGATATTAAAATCTTCAAAATGTCAAGTTAGTCTCATTTTTTTTTGCAGCAATGAAACAAGTATGATTTTATAGTGATGTTACAATAATTTTTTAGCAATCAATTCGTTGCTTCAGTTAATGCCTTCTTAGTCATATAAATACAGTCCCAGTGACCTGCTGCTGTGTGTGCTTGAGTGTACATTGGTACACAGAGAAAAGTGGTACAAATCTTGAGTAAGATCATTTAGATAACACTGGAGAGTTGTGCACACTAAATCAAATTATATAAGTGAGAAGCTACCATATAGCAATTTCAGATTAGTTTTCTGTAGATTTATTTTTTCTGCTTACGTTCATCAGTGTCTGCAGATCTACACTATCTCGAATTCTTCCCTCTTTTCGTGCCTTCGATGCCAAGTTTCCAAACCAGACAAATGGAACCCAGTATTTAAGATGGGGAGACTTGAGGTCATCAAAAATTTTTCTTTCATATCGTGTCATAAAACCTGTTACAAAAAAAAAGACTTAATTTATTCTGTGTTGTCAGTGCAACTGATGTATAAACTTTGAATATGTTTGAATCTGCTTATGTGACATTTGCATAGAGCTATGCAAAATACTATTTTTAATTCTAACTAGTAGCCTCTTTTTTTTTTTTTTTTTTTTTTTTTTTGAGTTTTTCTGGCCAGGATAGATCTTGCTTGAAACAATTTATTTTTGCAATAACTACTGGCACAAAATCCTTCTTGATCAATATATGCAATAATTTGCTATTTGCTATCTGAATGTTGAGAGATTGTAGATATACATAATACTAAGAATTGTACAGATTAGTTTCAGAAAAATAAGGTACTGGATATATCAGTCAAAAAACTATCACTTTTCAGCAATTATGGTTTTTAGCAGCATCTCAACATACGTTGTAAGGGCAGTTATGTGACCTGATTCTGATAAAGTTTTGGTAAATTTGAAAAGCAGCGAGCAAGCAACAGAGGATACAAGCTCACGTATGAAACAGAGCTCAACAGAGAGCGTGCCTTCTGCCAGCAAAATACTTCCCTGCCAGATTGTGTTTCATGTTTTCTTTGGGGTTATGAAGGCGTGCAAAGAGATGGAAAAGGAATCACGCACAGAAATCCTGCTGCTAGCAGGACACCGGGCCAGATGACGTTCTGTGGGGCTGCAGGCTGAAGCTGCTCTCTGCCTGGCAATTTGCCTTGGCGGGGTGCTGGGAAGGTATTAAGTTTCCTGCAGAGTTCCCCTGGCCTTGTGAAACCCTGCTTCCCCCTGCTGCAAGCAAGTCCAAGGTCAGATAGCAGGGGAGCCAGGGCTGCGTGTGACAAAACCTGCACCAGAGCAGCTCACTCTGCCTGGGGCTGGCATGGGAGCAGCTGGTTTCGGAACAACACCTCTATCACCTTGGGTAAGGAAGCTCCGCTCTGCTGTCCTCCTTCCACCCAGCCTTTGAGAAAAACAACCTCAGAAAATTCATGAGGGGGAGCTTCACATTTTTCTTTGTCCAAATCCTGGATTTTTGGGGATTGGAGCAATCTTCACATTTGGAGGATCTTAGTTTTTGCTCAGGTGTGTGTGTCACCTGCCAGGGTGGGTATGTGTCACCTGCCAGGCTTCTTTTGTTGTGTTGACATTAGCTCTGAAACAGAACAAAATTAGTAACATGGCAGCCCCAAAATAAGTGGCTTAGCCAATTAACTAAAAGCTTGAGTGCTCCAAATTCAGTAAAGGAACTGATAATATTTTCTATTCTCCAACTAGTAACTAAGAATTGGCCTGTTGTTACTAACATTGCAAGTGATATATGAAGCAGCAAAAAAATAAATACACACAAACTCAGTTGTGTTCTGCATAAAAATGTGAATGAGAAAACAGGACATTTGTTAAACAAGGCGACCTTCTTAAATATACTGTTGTTGAGGAAAACACCACTGTTGTACACATTGCAACAAGTCAACACAGGAGGCAGGAAGTGCTGCAACTACAGAGAAGGAACACAAGGACAGGACAGAAAATTCCGTGGAAGAAGGAAAAGTTCATGAGCAAAACACAGTACTCCTACGGTATCCTGGAAATTGAAGACAGAATAAGATACAGCTTTTAAAGGTCCCTGGGCAGTTTGCAGCCAGCTCTCGTAATCAACTGTACAGGAATAATCAGGCAACCAGACAAACTGACCTGCTAGTCATGACTCCTGACTCCTAAAAGTCAGTCTTTCAGGCTGCCTGTGATTTTTGGCTGGCCAGCCTGCTCATTATGGGACAGCAAAAGATGTTTCTATCAGGCTGAAACAGACAGACAGAAAATCAGAAAATTGACAGTCTGGAGTGAACATTGGATGCAAGTCACCTTAGAGGCTCTGGGAAGTCATTATCTGGAAGGACACTATCTGAGGGGTTCACAAAGAACAGCAAAGCTCCAAGGATGAGTTCAGCTCTCCACTGAAAATGGGAACATTTTTGTTCAGCAAAGCTCAACAAAGCCTTGTTCTTTTAACAATAATAGTCAAGTGGTCATTATTTTTAAAGTTAAGGTGTTCATGCTTATGTTAATTAAATATTTTCTTTGATGGATATTAATAATTCCTAGTATTCTTATAGCAGAAAATATTAAGCATATCTGGATTGCTTTTACTGCTGATGAAGGTTATGGAAATAATACAAAAACTATGCAGTTCAGAACTGCTTGCTGTTATTGCAGCAGTAAATAAACACTTTATATTCCATCAAATACAGGGGAGGATATAAAACCTCAGTTATTAAAATTAAACGGTGTCTAAATATGGTCATGCTATTTTGATTCAAGAGTATTCTAAGAATTAACTGAGGAACTCTCCGAACAAGAATGTTGTTTTTGACAAGCGCTGAAAGACTGGAGCAGCTCCAGAAAACTGGAAATATTTGGCAAATACTGTGCCAAGATCTTGAAAAGGATGGTCTAAAGAATGACAGGACACTGAATCCTTGTGAAAGCATGAAAAGCTTGATGTGGGATGCAATCAATAAAGAATCAAAGGACACTAATGTGAACAGTGTCAGCCAAAGTGATTTTACGGGAAAAATATTGATGAGAACACAAGCCTGGCTGGGAAGAGTCACTCATGCTCTCCCTCAGGTGATTCAAAGAGTATTCAGTTCTCCTGTCAAAACTGAATGGTTTGAGACAAAACTGGTTCAGGGTATCCACATCAAATACCCTGAAGACTAGTGGTTAGAGAAGAAGGAACTTAACAGTGGTCATCTTCCACATTGCTAGAATGCGCTAACCATGGTCAAGTAGATTAAAAGTTTCACTTTCTGCTCCTCTGATGTGTCGGAAAGAACTAATTTAGGTACTTCATTCCGGTAGAGGTTTTGGGATGGTGAACTTTAGCTGTCTGTAGGTATTCATGTCGCTGGGCTCACACCTCATGTTTCTCTTCAGCATTTCCTGTCAGCTGTTCTGGGCTGCTCTCTGCCCAGCTGCTGACTCATTACTCATGTTTTTTAAGACTCATGTTCTTGAGCATCCAACTTCCCTCTTGCACCTTGCAGCCAACAGGATTGGTACGCTCAGAACTGCTGCTAGGCATTTGACGCTTACGGCATACGTGCCACAGTACTCAGCATCATAATGTCATGAATCTACATGCATTTACTGCCTACAGCTCCACAGAGAATGCTAAAAAACGAAAAAGAGTTTAGAAAAGAGTTAGGAGGAAGATCCAGCACTGAAGACCATACCTTGTAGAGAGAGACTACAGAAGGTGAAGCTCCTAAATTTGTTCAAGCCTTTACGTATGCCACTAACAGGTAGCTATTGAGATAAAATTATGTTTTAATCTAATTAAAAAAAGAATAACCCAAACCCATTACAAAATCCAGTAACTAGAAGATGACTCCGTGCAAGTTCAGACTGAGGATAAAATTTCACTTTTCAACAGAAGTTCACCATTGTGAATGTCAGTTCACCTAGGATGTGGTGTAGTCTCCTTTATGCTCAGCTGAATTTTAAATCAGGGCTGGTTACATTCTAGAAGGTATTAAGAGCTCAGTCAGAAATTGCACTATGATAAAGGATGTTGTGAGGAAGTTTTACCATGTGTTATCAATGAGTCAGACTAGATTATAATGATACTGTTCTTAGATTTAAAAATCTATGAATTTAAGCAGTTCATCTGCTGAAAAAATAAATATGTAGCAATGGTTACTTGTGGCAGTTCTCAGCTTGATAGCAAAATGCAAAATCGGCACAAGTTGTTTCAATTATGACTGAGCTGTAAGTATCAGATTCTGCTGCTCACGTTTGTGTTAGATGCTGCACTCCCATGCAGTCTGATACGTAATGCCATAGGGAGCTGGGGAGGGGATAATTGCAGAGTACTGTCTTAATCACTGGATGTTAATAGGAGCAAAATATGCCCTCAACTGCTCTGTACTACACCAACAAAAATCCTGTGGCACAATATGCATTAAAACCTACAGAATAAGTACTGAAATCCACAGAGCTGACTACCCTATCAATATTTAGTTATACAGTTTATAGTAGAATGTTTTCCACTGTTAAAAAAAACCCAGAACAACCAAAACTTGTTTTCCAGTCTACATTTTTTCGTACAATGCTGCAACATTTTGTCTCTCTTAGAACAGATTGTCTTTAGCAGTAGGGAGGCAGAGCTGGATTAGCCTGCTGGAAATGTTGTAATTTTCCAGTGTGTACTAGGAGCAGATTGCTGGGGAGAGTGACAGAAGCTTCCTTGACCTCTCATAGGCTCAGGTAAACAGTTTTGTTGAACAGCACAAGGAAGAGAACTTCAAAATCCAACTGAATCCAACATAAATTACTTTTTCAGTAAGATTGGTGCATTCTGCCTGTTTGTTGTTGTTTTTTTTTTTTTTAATATCTCACACATATTTGGAATGTATATATGTGTATACACACTGCATATTTTAACTTGCTACAACTTTGCTTACTCATCTCTGCCAAAGGAATAATTTTAAGAAATGCAAGACGTTCAGTAAAAAAATGTATGACTCCTGCTCAGAACAGACCCCCACATCTCTGCACTGGTGTCCTACCCCTGACACTGACCACGCCATTGAGAAGGCATGGCATCACACCTTGCCTTTAAATACTCAGCGGTCAGTCCTTCATAGGCAAGCAAAGTCTTACATGATTGAACTCTCTTCCCCATCATCACACTCATTGTATTATCAAAACAAACAGAAAATAAAGACACACTTAAGACTTAGTATATTTATCCCTGAAAAACTAAGCTTAAGGTGAGGTTGTAAATGTAAATAACAAACCCTTGAGGTTGGGGGTTTTTAAGTACATTGCAACACTTAAAATGTGCAATCTACTTAAAATGCAATCTACTTAAAATAAATTGAGATAACGCTGTACTTGTGAAGTGCCTGCAGAGATCAGTCTCTGACACATAAGACAAAGTTATATCCTAGATATCAAAGCAATGCCGTGTAACAAGTCACCATTCCTACTGCATCATACTACAGCTCAACTACTTTATTCTTCCTGCTTTGGAGAATGCTGTACCTGCTCCATATGCCTGTGTGTTCGGGGCAGGCCTATTGCCTCTGTGATGTCTGAGAGCAGATCCACATAAAAGCCTCAAACTAATTTGATTTCTATAGTGTTGCTAGATTAAGACTTTAAGGGCATTAAAGATGCACGCTTAAGGGCACACCATTTAAGCCACTGACAATGTGTCAGCTTTGACATGGGTTAGTACGAGGCATACATGGGGCCGAAGAGGAAAGAAGCAATGAGTCTGGGTCCTTCCCTCCCTGTGCCCCCACCTCTGAGGAAAAGGAAAGACATTTTGGGGAGGAGGACTCAGCAGTACCTGCTCCTACCACGTGGTCCATGGTGGGAAACCTTTTGTACACGGCTGTGCTCACAGAACGAAAGATCAGCAGAGATGTTAAATTCACGTAACGCATGAGAGTCCTCCTCAACAAGCGCCCATATTCATCTCTGCCCTGCACACAGCTGGAGATGAGGAACATCAGTCGATCTGGCCACGGCAAGTTCACAAACTGGTTCCACCAGCGATTCACCACCAAAGTCACATAGAAACCTGGGGGTTAGAAGGAAAAAAGAAGTCTGGTGCCTGTCAGGATTTCTTTTTAGGTCACTTTGATTTAGTTTGCAGAATGTCACTAAGCTGCTACATTTCCCAGAATAAATGCAGTAAGTCACATCAAAACCCAGGATGCAATCAATGCTTATTATTTAATAGACACTGCAACTTAATAGCCTGTTCCAGCCAAGTATCTCATACTCGTGAACTTCCAAATTTCCTCTTCTGTAGTAAACCTTGAGTGGATTTAGTGATTTGAAAGAGCAGGCACAATGCCTCAGTGTGCACTATATACATATATGTGTGTGTATATATATAGAAGGAAACTTGGCTCTTGTTGGTATATTTAGAACAGGAGCATAAATGTCAATGTGACAAAAGCAACTCAAATTTAAGGAGACCTATTGGAAGCTGATGGTTTTATTGTGAGCCTCTAACCTCCCACGTGCCCCTCAGCTCTGAAATGCTTCCATGCAGGGCCATTCACAAAATGCCTGAACAGAGACAGCGTTGGAGAATAATTTCACAGGTAACTGGTACTTACCAAGCACAAAAGTTACCGGGATTTGTTCAGCATATTTGTCACAGTAAATTGATAATCTTTCAAAGAACCGTTTTTGACTACCTGTAAGAAAAAATCTGCAGCAAAAATAAAATGTATCTGTCGTTTCATAATATCCTGTCACTAGATACAAAGTGCAAATTATGTATAAATAATGAGATATGTGTAATCAGTGCAACCCTGGCTAATGTCTTCAACCAAATTCTTATAGTGCTGAACACTTCTGCCATGTAATAAAGAAGCTGGAGGAGAAGACATCATTCCCTGGTCTTTGCCATTTTCTAATGTCTAATTTGACTGGCACTACTAATTAGGATCAATGCACTTGGAGAATTAGCTTGCCATCTCATATAGACCAATGCATAAGGAACCCATAAGTCTGCAAGTAGAGCTTGCTCTCATTTTTCTGAGGGCTACTTAATAAAAATGCTCAGGACTGCTTGAATTGCAGAAGGTTACCAATCTCTAATTGCTCTTATTTGAAAATGTTACATCAGTGTAGCAGTTTTTTTTTACTCTTACTCCTACAAAATTTTTGTTTTCCACAACATTAAAAACATAAAAACTGTATTTATTTTGCAGTGAGAAAAATATTCACCAGATGATACAAAATGAGGCGAGCATGGCAACTTCTGCCTACGGAGAAAGATATCTAATGAAATACGACAAGCTTAAATATAAAGAATGATTTTATTTGTATGAGTATTACAGTTATTCTTTGATTTCATATAAAAGGAACACCTGACAAATATTTGGTGGGTTTTGGTTACAATTGTGCAATAAAACCTGCAGTGCACACAAAAGGCTTTCTATGGTGTATTTACCATAGTCTTTAATTGCCTAACTTTACAGTAAAACTAGATTAATTTAAATAAATGTGCAACACTGGTGTTTCTGTACATACTAATACTGTAATCTTCTTTCCGAGTTCACAGGTATAGATTACTGAACATTTTGGAAAATTTGTGATTAATGACAGACAAACAAGCTCATTTTCTTCTTGCTTTACATAGAAAGCAAACACTGAGGTCCATCTGCAGATCAAGATAAGAGCTGAATCATGATTTTGGTACTTATGTGTAGTGTACTTCATCAATTAAGAGTTTCACTGTACTAACTGATGCATTGCATCTGTCATACAGGTGTTTAATTCACACCTTGGTGGAAGAAGCAACTCTCCTTCTAACATGGCCCTCCCAGGTGCTGGGTGACACGCAGGTAATAACCATGTCTGGTTTCCATGCAAATTTCTTGGCCCTCTGCAAGCTTAAAAATAAAGTTGGCCATGCCATCCTAGCTTTAAGCAAAACTTTTCCTGACTATATAACCCGTCTTTCAAATTATTACCTTTTTTATTGTTGGAGAAATTACCACTGAGCAACTGAAGACACAGTTCTACATCTAGAATGAAAGGTCTATATTTACTTTTTAAAGTGGAGAGGCAGGCTCACTGCCACCTACTTGACATCAGAATGATAAAAGCTATAGAATATAGGCTAGCTATGCCTGTTTATTTAGCCTGACTTCAGTAGAATGGTTGTTCAGTGCTGGGCTGAAAGTAGAATCAGATGAATACGATAGGCTGTATTTTATTTATACTCTACATGCTTTCTCTGGAACATTAAAGTAAACATGGAAAGGACATTAGAAAAGATTCAAGGAAAATGCAATAATTATGTAGTAACCTCCCCCCGAACCATCATTCATCAGCCCACCACTATGAAGTGTGAAACTTCAGTATAACATTTAATGAGATGTGAATTGGAAA